ATAGGCGGGGTATCAAATAAATAAACTAGTTCCTTCATTTTCTATTTAAACATCTGAGATGCAATCTCTCTAAGGAAACCAATGGGTCTCCTTTGCTCTTACCCTCCTCCCACTGCAGGAATTGGTGCAAAGTGTGAAATATTAATTTTTTTAAAAAAATAACATATTGTCCAGAATCTTACTACTATCGAGTAGACCAGATAGGCGGGGTATCAAATAAATAAATAACTCATGAGGGGATCAGTCAAATAGTATAAATCTCAACAGAAAATTGCTGCTCTCTGAGAAATCAGTGCCTCTATTCCCCGTTGCATGTCAAGTCACACAAATAAAAGGAATATAAGGAATACATGTGTCCTGTTCTTAACTAGTTGCAATTCATCTTAACCACTGATCTTAACTAGTTGCAATTCATCCTAGCTCAGCCCATCCACAGCTGAGATTTTCACCATTCGGCTTACATCACCGATAACACAATGCAGCCGATTATTTGTGTGTTCGTTACTTAGCGATGTTCCATCGAATCAGAACGATTAAAATTCCTAATGGGGCTTTCAAGGTAGGTGAGATATTAAAGGATTAGATTTACCAGTTCCATACCCCCAGTCAGTTTCCATGACTGAGTGAGGATTCAAAGCCTGTTCTACATAATCCTAGTTCCTCGCTCTATCCACTACATCAGTGGTTTTCAACCTTGAGTAACCCAAATGTTCTTGAACTGCAACTCCCAGAAATCCTGGCCAGCAGAGTCAGTGGTGATGCCTTCTGGGAGTTGTAGTCCAAAAGAACACCTGGGTTATTCAAGGTTAGGAACCAATGCACTACACCACTCTGGTTACCTATTTATGTGTTAATGTTACTCTTAATGCTAAAGAGAAGTTTACAAAGGACATCCCACCACCTCCCCCTAATCAACCAGTCTTCCAAGTCAATTTTCTGCAATCATGTTATTTGTTTTACAAATATCCTCTGTTTTAAGAGACAGGCCATAAATTCTGAATTGCTAGCTCAGGTGGAACTTGATAACAATTTGCATATTGCACTATCTCCAGCTAAGAAGCGAGCCTGGACTCAACATCGTCAGCCGTGTGAATTTGGAACATTGAAAACAGCACAAACAGTTTGGAACTGCACGCAAGAACGTGATGCACAGCCTTGAAGAAGATGATTTATCATCAAAAGCTCACTGTTTTTTCTGTTTGTTCTTTTTAAATATTCTTACTGGTTGAGTATCACCTGTTCCTGTATTTGTAAAATTCCCTAATGTTATTGCTGATGTTATTATCATGATTAAAATTATTAAATGGCTCTCGTTATTATTAATTTTTTAAAGGAAGCAATCAGTAATGATATTATGTTTCACATGTTCTTTCCAGCCTCCGAACTGGAGTTCTTTTAATTCTCCACGTTCTACTTAACCACCATGGCTAATAGCTGTGTGCAGATCTTTCTTCCATAAATTGGTTAAATCCAGTTTTAATGTTATTTAACCCAATGGCCATTGCCATGGCTGGTGGCAACAAACTCTGTCGCTTAATTATGCATTAATTCCAAAACAGCAGGGACCGACTGCTCGAAGCCATCGGCACGGGCCTGGACTTTAAAGACCGAAAACCCACAATTAGGATAATCTGGAAATGCCCTTAGTCTCTGTTCCTTATCTATAAAACAATTATATTAATACCCTTCCTCTAACAGAATGTGTGAATTTTGATTCGAAGGCTGTGGATGCCGAAATAGCTCTGAAGAACTTTTTCAGATTTCTAGAACCTGAGCTGACTTTCCTATTTATTATTATTATTATTATTATTATTATTATTATTATTATTATTATTATTATTATTATTATTATTATTATTATTATTATTATTATTATTATTATTATTATTATTATTATTATTATTATTATTATTATTATTATTATTATTATTATTATTATTATTATTATTATTATTATTATTATTATTATTATTTGAATGTGAAATTCTCTCTTACTTACATCATATAAGATTAGATTTCCAGTTAAATAGTGAGGTGAGCATGTTGTGGATGCCACCAAATTTGCAGGGTGGTAAAAACAAAACTGTTTTTTTTTGGGGGGGGAATAGCAAAATTTGTGAAAGAGCAATAGAATGTTACACACAAGCAAGGTCTCAGCTGGTTGGTAGTGATGGTTGCTAACAGGTGTTTCACACTTTCCAGACCCACCTCCAGCACTCAGAGGCTTTCTTGCCCCGCCTCCTCAGGCACTGCTTCTGAGTGGGCGCCCAACAGAGGAGGCAGGGTGGGAAACACTGAATACCTCTTTGTCCAATAAACGACCTGGCACGAACCCCTGAACAGGTGGTCTGTACCCATCTCTACCGGTAGGTACTGACCACGAAAGAGATTTGGAAACACGGTGGGGAATTAAATGCCAAGCACTGGAGTCGTATCTGTGTGCAGCAACTGCAGGGAGAGTAAAACTCAGGCTGAGGATCAAGAGGGAAAATCAGAATGCCAGTATGTGAAGCCATGATGCAAATCTGTACCACAACCACACTTTGAATTATGAAAGCCATCCATTCTGCTCTGTACCCAAACAAAGGGAATAGATATTGGGGCAACCTGCCCTCTCTTCTTTATGAGATTTTCAGACCTACTTCATCTCTGGGTCTGTGAACTTATCTATGCATTTCTGGATTTCTGTTTTAAAATACTCTGAAAATTGATTGGGACACAAACAGCCATTGCTGCTGTTACTTATATACTGCCCCATGGGGCTAGAGGACTCTCAAGGTTGTTTGCAACCTATTTATGCAAGCAAGTCTTTGTCCCTGAGTGAGCTGGGTACCTCGGAAGGGTGGAAGGGTGAGTCAACCTTGAGCTGGCTGTCTGAGCTTGTTGGGATCATGAGCTGAGGCTTGACTGCAGTGCTGCAGTTTATCCGCTGCACCACAGGGCTTCCTTGCCTGGGGAGGGGCCAGGCTCCACCTAATTGTGCGTCCTACTCACTCAAAGCCCATACAACGACCATTCTTTCACCACCTCACGCACACTCCGTTCTCACGCTGCAATAATATTTCAGTGGAGTTTAGTAAAAGAAGTGGAGTGAGGGAACAAAGAAAAAGAACATTGGAGTGTTTCTCTTTACCCTAAAAAATAGTTGGTGGAGTTGATCGAGAGGTGATATCTACACTAGGCAACATTTCAGTGGCTGGAGCATCCGCAAGATGCGTGAGGCTTCCTTGGGGAGCTCAACCACCCTTCCCCTTTTGCTATGGGAATAGCAGCCTAAAATACGTACTCTTCTATGTTTTGGTCGCTGCCTCTCAAAAATGGTATTGAAAGGCTTGGGGTAGGGTAAAACAGGGCACACGTAATGATGTGGGGCTGAAACAACTCCCCTCTGATTTATGGCCTGGTGTACAAAAGCTTATGCCAAGGATAATGGGAGCTGTAGTCCAACACATTTGTAGGGAGCCACATTGGGGATGGGCCCTGCGTCAAGTGTAACAAGGATTTTTGTCCTTTCCCCGCTTTTGAGACCAGTTTATGCCATTTAAGAGTTTTTAATGAAAAAGAGGAAGAAGGTGAGGAATGGAGGGCCCATCATGCTGGAATATTATATTATATCATTATATCTTCCAGATATTTTTGAATTCTAGTGCCCATAATCCATCACCATTGGCTTGGGGCTCTAAAGAAAAAACATATGGAGGGATAGAAACTGATCATGCTTCTCAGGAGAGGGTACCTCGGAAGGGTGGAAGGGTGAGTCAACCTTGAGCTGGCTGTCTGAGCTTGTTGGGATCATGAGCTGAGGCTTGACTGCAGTGCTGCAGTTTATCCGCTGCACCACAGGGCTTCCTTGCCTGGGGAGGGGCCAGGCTCCACCTAATTGTGCGTCCTACTCACTCAAAGCCCATACAACGACCATTCTTTCACCACCTCACGCACACTCCGTTCTCACGCTGCAATAATATTTCAGTGGAGTTTAGTAAAAGAAGTGGAGTGAGGGAACAAAGAAAAAGAACATTGGAGTGTTTCTCTTTACCCTAAAAAATAGTTGGTGGAGTTGATCGAGAGGTGATATCTACACTAGGCAACATTTCAGTGGCTGGAGCATCCGCAAGATGCGTGAGGCTTCCTTGGGGAGCTCAACCACCCTTCCCCTTTTGCTATGGGAATAGCAGCCTAAAATACGTACTCTTCTATGTTTTGGTCGCTGCCTCTCAAAAATGGTATTGAAAGGCTTGGGGTAGGGTAAAACAGGGGAACCGAAATGATGTGGGGCTGAAACAACTCCCCTCTGATTTATGGCCTGGTGTACAAAAGCTTATGCCAAGGATAATGGGAGCTGTAGTCCAACACATTTGTAGGGAGCCACATTGGGGATGGGCCCTGCGTCAAGTGTAACAAGGATTTTTGTCCTTTCCCCGCTTTTGAGACCAGTTTATGCCATTTAAGAGTTTTTAATGAAAAAGAGGAAGAAGGTGAGGAATGGAGGGCCCATCATGCTGGAATATTATATTATATCATTATATCTTCCAGATATTTTTGAATTCTAGTGCCCATAATCCATCACCATTGGCTTGGGGCTCTAAAGAAAAAACATATGGAGGGATAGAAACTGCTCATGCTTCTCAGTAGAGCATCATCATCACCATGATTGTAGAACTGCAGAACTGAAAGGGACCCTATGGATTATCAAGTCCAACCCTTACCAAGGAGGCTGGGGGGGGGGAATCGAACTCCCAACCTCTGGCTCCACAGCTGGATGCTGAAACCTCTGGGCTGCACAGAAAGTGGACAGATGGATTTCCTCCTCTTTCTCATAATACCAGAGCCTGGAGTTATCCTACTGAAGACTAAACTGGTGGGCGATTCATTGCAGACCGAACGAGGCGTCTTTTTGCCAAGGAGGGGCTTTTATTCAACATTAATTGAAAAGGTAAGCCCAGGAAGAAGCACAGCAGAGGCGAAAGAATCACAGACATCCACACCGCTGACTTCCGCTAAATACCGGAACCCAATTTTATTCTGGAAAATGACATTACACACACCTTGCAAATGTACATTTAGATGAGAAAAAACAATGCAGAAGAAAGTTTGAGAGCAAAGTCGGAGACTGGGCGGGTCCTTCCGCTGAACGGTATCCAATCACCGGAAACGGCCCAGATGTGGGAGGGGCGGGGACATGGGCAGGGCGGAGCCTTACAAGCGGTTAAAAACAGTTCACGACACTTCACCAGGAGAAGGAAATCAAAAGTAGGTCTAGAATATCAGGCTTTTGAAGAAAAGTCTTCTAAATGGGGAGAGGCACGAGACACATGGATCCAAGATACACCAATTTGGTTTTGTCTTCTGTTTAAGTCCCATGAAATGTCAACAATCAGCACCATAGGTTCAGAGTCTTTGCTTGCCTTTATCCACAGAAGAGCGATGTTCATTTCAACATCAACACACCTCATGCCTTCTGTGTTTCTGGACACCTGTGAAGGGAACGACGCCCACACCATCCCTCCATGATACCGGCACCTCCCTCACCTACTTTCAAAATATGCAGAGAAACTTGTGCACAAAAAATGAGGGATTATATACATTATTGTCTTTCCAGCCCCCCCCCCCGAAAAAAAAATAACAAGAAAAGAACCCTGAATTGCATTGGGCGTAACGCTCTGTAGACACGCAAGCTGTCCATCAGGTCTGTTGCCACGAAGAGATGAGATCATGGCGGATCTCACTGAACTGAACAATACAACTGTACATTACACACCTAATGATCAGCGACTATTCAGCTCTTTGCTCGGTCCTTTTCTCCATGTCCACATCTATAACTAAAAACCCACAGAAGGGCAGGAGAGACCAAAGCACAGGAAGGAACAAGGGAGAGGAAATTTATGCCATGAAATGTTAGCACCATGCATTTACTCTCAAAAGCTTGCTCGCTAGTAAGCTACCACGTCTAAAACTACCACCATTAATTGACACCTGCCAGCTAATTAATTCTACTTCTATCTCTAGCCATGGAACTGAGGCTTAAAAGAAAACAGACCAACCTCCCCCCTCCCCCAGTGAAAAATGTCAATTTGTTTTTTAAAAAGGGGGTTTTCTGTACAAGTCGAATGGCACAAAAGTGGAGAGAATGCTAAACCACCACGGATGGAGAATGCAGAATTCTTTCGAAACAGGCACGCTAAGAAAGGAGAGTGGAGTCATTGGCTTAAAGCTGCAATATATTATGGGATGAAACAGAGGAGACGTTTGGGTGTGGAACCTCAAAATGACAACTTGCAGTGGTGGGAAAATAACTGAGCCCTCCAAGCAGTAAGCGAAAACGGAAAAGTGGATTTGCTTGGTTAAGATGCAGACTAGAGAGGGGCACGGACCATCTAGAAAGAAAGTTCAGGGCGAGTGGAGGATACTAACCCATCTCATCCTGGTCATTGCTTGCATATTGAGATGGGACAGGGCAACAGCGACCAATGCAAACGAGAGAGAAAAGGTGCACCAGGATCCTCAATGGGCTATCAGATCTACTGCCTTGTCTGGAACGCCGTCAAGTTCTTGAAGATGTCCCTTTCCCAATATGCCAATGGTGGCATGATCTTCATGATAGACTCTATTTCCACATGCCCTCCACTAAAAATGATTTGGTGGTGCTGGTGGTGGTTGAGATGGTTCTTCAACACAAGGGGAGCAGCTGAGATGGTTCTTCGACACAATCTTCTGGAAGCTTGGGGAGATGATATGACCACACGATTTCAACCAACTTCTCCCTTGTGCATATCTACTTGGATCTCGACCCAAGATGGTTAGACAGGAAGATAAGGAGGAAAAAAAATTCCTCTCAGGAAGATGAAAACCATCTCAAACCATCTCAAAGAGGTCTTCGCTGGAAGAGATAAAAAAAAAAAATCCAGCCACCTATAAGCCATAAAAATAATCCCACAAACATCCCATATTACTGTTTTGACATTCCTGGTAAGCTTAAGAAAAGCTTCTGCCAAAATGAAATGTGTGAGGGACCCATGAGAGAAAAACGAAGCATTCCATTTTAAATTAATTCATCTTTTTTTTTAAACAACCACTTATTTGATAAATATGTCATCTAAAGTAAAACAAAATGAAACAAAAAAAATATACCAACCCTGGAAAATACAACAGCTCATACAAAGCATATGAACTTCAAGGTTCTGTACAGAGAATTTAAAGTATGCCAGCTAAACTTTAAATCCCACCTTGATTCCCCCCCCTTTTCTTTTAAAATCCCCATGCTTTTTAAAAATCTCATCCCCACCCAACACAGAACGACAACAGAAGAAAATACATCATGACCTCTTGGTTACACTATATTGCAGCTTTCTTTTATGAATGGGGAAAATAATACAAGGTCGGCTGAGAGGTATTCCCCAAGCCATCCACCATTAGCCTTTGACTGAGTTGCCTCTTTTCCTAGTCACAACTTATTTCTCAAAAGAGCTGTAGGTGAGGAAATGATGGGTTCCAAAAGGCGGTGCATGGTTTGTACAGATGGCTTTGAAAGATGACCACGATGACTACATTTTTGATCATTAAAGAACGTGGTCATGACTAAGAAATCTGATTGGTGTCCCATGCATCCAGCAGGCTCGTTTGCTTTGATTTTGGCCTGTGCTTCTCAAAACCCTGCTCTGTAAGACAACAGAAGAGGAGGAGGAGGAAGATCAAGACAGTAACAGCTGTGGCGAGGCTAACAAGTGAAGGAGGAATTATAGAGCTGAAAGACAACTTTTTGAGAAAAAGTCATATTTGTAAGAGCCCAATGGCGACAGAAGTCTTCTAAATGGATGGAGACTTTATAACAGTTGCACAGCAAGATGATTTGAGTGGGCTGTAGTGTAAATGGGATGTTATCTAGGACGTGTTTTTGACCAGGGTTGTAACTAAGCTAGAGTAATTTGGGCTGTGCCCCAAGGCACCCCAACGTAGAGGATGCCAAAATCTAGAAATGAATCTACCAATGATTGTTAAGAAGATAAACAACAACACCTCTCAGCCCCTTTTCTGTGGGGGGGGAGGGACTGGGGAACACCACATTCTCCTCCTCATTTTTCATGGGGGGCCTGAACTTAGGCCTGAAAGCAGAGCAATGGGAGATGGTGGCACTCAACCTCAAATTGTTGCGCAATGTTTGAGTTTTGATTGTGGAATGATGTGTTTGGCTGGCCAGGATTTTTGGGAGTTGTCGTTCAAGAACATCTGGGGGCCGAAGGTCGGGAAACACTCTATTAGACCACACAACCGAGTGGATCAATGTTTGAAATGTCATTGACATTACTGTCAACTCATCCAAGTTCCCATTAGGAACAGTTTTCCAATCATGAGTAATGTATTTACTATTTCCAAATGGTAGCATTCTCAGTGGCCCTGATTTCCCTCCCCCCAAAAATCGACATGCGTTGAGTAACGTCATCATGCGTGATGTCTACTTTTAGTGTGTTAAAGAGTAGAGGTCTCCAAGGATGTCTTTGTGGGCCATTAAACTGGAGCCATCAGTTTAATTCCCCACAAGGCTTCTGAGATAACATCACCCAGATGTGGGAAACTAATATCCATTTCCTGGACCCTCACTGGTGGCCACCAAGCGATGATCAGAACTGGGGGCTTAGTGCCACTGCGCTCAGCACTGCTGCCAGATCACCCTACAGAAGAAGGGTCAACCAGCAGGTGCTGTTAAAGGTCCCGTCAGACCTGGAATGAGCCCCGCTATCAATGCACATGAGTAATAATGAGCTCCCACTAGCCTGACCAATAATCTCTTGTGAATTTGTGTCTTAACAACACAGCCCACTGTCTCCTGTAATGCAGGGGTTCCTCAGTGAATAAGCCAATGTGAGCAACCACGAAGGTTTGGGAAACCACCCCATTTCAGACCACAGTTGCTACTCCTAGTGGTGATACCACCCACTTCACACATACCAAGCACCAGGGGTTGGAGGGGGTGCAATGTTAATGTATGAACATACTTTAAATAGCCTGAGAGTTGGAAGATGAACATGAGTAGCATCGTCGGTACTGCTATTCGGCATGCATGCATATTTTCTTCTTCTTTTGTACAAAAAAAATCATGCAACATCAACTATACAAGCAGTTTTACATCTGACATGGTCACCGATTTCTACCTATAGTTCAAGAACTTTTACCTGAAGAATAGCTTCTAATACCTGGGAGTCTGGTCCTTTTACCCTGTTTCGTTTCTGCAGGCTTTGAATGGCTTTGCTTTTTTTTTTCCTTGTGAGGAAAAACGAGAGAACCCCTCTCTTTCCTCACGCCGGGCCTTTGCCGAGTTTTCTGTTGGCCAGGCCTTGGTATACTTGTGTACTGATGTGCCATGGGGTAACTCAACCTATCTCAAAAGCCTCAACTCCCCAATCCTATCCAAAAGAGTTGTGTGTCCCTGGCCAAGGCCATTCTTAAGAGAACAGGCTCTCCAAGATGCCAGGGTTAAGTGCAAGTGAAGAGAGATGCTCATAGCTGCACTTGAAAGAAATGTATTGTTGTTGATGGAGAAATGAGGAACCTACTCCATGTAAACAATTATCTACTTACGAATATAAGGGGGGGAAAAGACCTATTGGAAAGGACTAGAAGTCTATCTAGTCCTACATTCCATCTACCAATAGGGGGTCAGCTTCTGGAAAGCTTACGAACAAAGGATGAAGGCAGAAGTTCTCCTCTAGAGCTTGCTCCTAGCCTTTGGCATTCCAAGACACATTGCTCTGAAGTTTCACTGAGCTATCGTGGGGAATATCAACCTGTCTCAAGTTTTGTCTCTGGTGAAGTTGGCGGTGAGTGGAGAGCAGAAGAGAACATTCAAAAGACTCCACAGTATGAGATTAGCAAGATTAATTCTGGGCCCATGAACCAGAACAGTGGTCAAAGGTGTAAGATGGCTTTCTTGGCTGGAAAGGAGAGCCAGTGAAGTTTTGACTCAGTCTGATGATCATCCCTTGCTTCTTGGACCAGGAGAAGTTGGTTTGAAGACAAGGAGTCCTCCAGACCTTGGATGGAGTATCATTCACATGACTTCTCCCTGTTCATTAGAAGTGGTGCTAAGAAGAAGGAGCCCTGCTCTATCATCTTTTCATCAAACAGAATAGCTCAGCGCATGGCCTCTAGTCATACTCTGAGGACAGACTGGGGACAGTCCTTTAAGACAGAGAGAAGAGGGGAGAAAAGGTCAAAGATGGAGGAAATTTATAGAGAACCCTCCCCTCCAAGTTGACTGGAGTGTTGGCTTAAACAGTTCACAGTCTCTGCTATGTTTACGCCCATCATCCAGAGTCTTGTATGGGTACAGTGGCCCATATCGCCTACTCCGGATGAGTGGGAGTCATGAGCCCCCAGGGCTTCCTGCTTCTCAAGAACACACTGTGCGTATGGACTGATGCTGCATCAATGCCTTTTGGGGAAGAGTGACTTCCTGGTAAATCCCAGGGAAACCTTTGTTTCCATGGACAAAACTAAGCACCAAAGTCTTGTCCACACCTGCTCCTAGGAGGACAGAGCTAGTACTTTCCCTCCAGATGATCCAAAAGTATGTTACGGCATGAACAAAATGACACACAAGCCAACCTCCCCCATCCCTCCCTATGAGGTAGAGAAGTATCACTGTCCCTATTTGACAGATCAGGTAAATTTGAGGCACCGAAGACATTTAAGAGACCTGCTCTAATTCAAACACCAAATCTGCCGATTTCAAACACACAATGGACAATTCTTGTGTAAGTCTTCCCTGTGCTTCATCCTCCAAGCCAGCCTCTCCCCCGTGAGCGATCTGACTCTCAACATCCATGAATGCTGGCGGTGAATGAATGGCTTACGGACTAAGCATTGGGCCACATTCCCTCTCTCTCTCGTATGCTTGAGTTCCGTACCGCCAATGACGTCGATGTTCCTGAAGCAACATTTAGAAATATTAGGCCAAACAGCAACAGAGGGGCTACAGACATCTAGATCTTAATGGCTCGGTATTTATAAATGGTAGAGCCGTACTTAGCTCTTGTGATACAGGCTCCCTCTGGACTGCAGCCACTGGATACCTCAAAATCTTATGTTTTGTGGGTTTTTTGGATGTGAAACCACATGGCCCGACCAATTCACATTAAGCTCCATTATGTCAGTGGTTTGTTTTTTTTAAAAAAGTGAATGCAAAGCACTGATCAATATCCAAAATGTAGCCAAACATTATTATTATTTTCTTTTAACAGCCAGGGGGCGCTGCAGAGTTCAGTAGCTCAGTGTTCCTCACGAATTAATGTCCACTTCTTTTCTGCACGCCCTTCCAACTTATGTGCAAATGGCCAAAGGCCACCCACAGCCACACCCGCACACGCAAAAGGAACACCCCTTGTCAAAAGAAAGAGACACACTATCGCCTTAATACATTCTAAATTCACAAGGAGATGCAAAGGAACTTAAAGCAGAGCAGGAAAGCGAAGACACCCCCTCCTCTCCAAATTGCATGGATATTGTCCCAATAACATGTTGCAAAGACAGGAAACCGCTATTCCAGCAAATTCAGGAATAAGGGGACTTGTCCTGTCCGGGGCCCCGATCCAGGCCCAGGAAAAAAAAAATTAACCAGTTCCATATAAAATGGTGACGCTTGCCCCGTTCGTTATGAAAAGCGAAAAGATTCGTTCAGTTTCGTATCCCATTATAACAGGTGGCCTTCAGATAAAAGAGTCGTTTCAAATACTGCGTTATGAATCCTCTAAGAAATCTACAGGCTGAGCATCAGGCCCTAGTTAGGATTATTAAAATACAGGAAAAAATGGAAAACACCAAGTGTAACATTTACAAACACCCTCAAAATATTACCCATACCGAAGTGATTGCAGGATCCCACCCACCCCTTGTAGCCCTTCCCTGGGTAATTTATTGTACCTCTGCTCTTAGTTTGGCAGTACTTACTGTGTTGAAGTGTTTTGTAGATTTTTATTTTATTTTATTTTTTAAGCAAAAGAAAGCCACCAGTTTCTTGTGTGTTTCTTCTTCTTTTTTTAAAAAAAAGGAGCTTGATGTACTTCCCAACCCTTTTCTCAAAGACAGCTAAAATTATCTGTTTTCCTCTATAAAAGTGTACTGTTGTCTTGGTATTAAAAAGTAATAATAATAATAATAATAACCTAGAGGTGTTACGAGACCTGAAAACGAAATGGTCACAGTGTTTTCAGCGTTGACTGTATACAAGGCATTAAAGAGTCTTCACAGAGATAGAGAGATACCATCCGAGGGTTGCAGTAACTTCATATTAACCAGACTGTGTTTTTTTTTATTGCTAGCCCTATGTACGCTCATCTGAAAATCCCACACAGGTAAAACCCCTTGCTGACTTTATTCAATTGTACTCCAGTGTCCAGCTTGAGAATGCCATGACACTTGGAATATTTCGTTAGTGCTGAAGGACATTATGACACTCTACGTATTTCTTTAATGCTGTCCAATTCTCGTTGGGTTGATGTCAATGTTAGCAAAAACAATGGATTTATTTTCTGCTGCTCGTGAATAAATGAAGGTCAGACAATGTACAGGTGGTACAGCTCGGAACACAACATGGGGAAACAGGTCTGATTTTTCAGAGTTGCTGGTATTGACTTGTATTTGGAAAGTGTGTGCTGGTGAATAGACCTGTTTCGTCCGTGGCTTTTCAAACAGAATTATGACCTTTGCTAATGGGACGATTCTAAACGGAAGGGTTGAACGGCATTCTCTTCCCTACGACCAAGCATAAAAGCAGCACATGGGAGTCAAAGAGGAGTCCACGGAAAAGCGGTGGGAGGGATGGGAGGTCACGATGACCTTGTGTGGCCAACCCTGGCCACCGATTTTGCTATAAAGTTACTTCCAACGATTGGTATCTCTTTATCTCTGTTGGTTGGTAGGTGTTAGCTTTGTGGCACCGAGGAGAAATCATAGGAGGAAAAGAAAAGACTTAACGTTGTGTCCTTGGGATAGACAGGCTAAGCGCCAGTGATTTCTCTGCTCCTTTTGGCAGAAGAACTGCCTTTCATCTAAAACAGAGCGTGGAACTACGGACACAGGGAGCGGGGGGGGGGTTCTTTACATGGAGTCTCCGAGGGAATCAGAATCATCCAAAGACAGAGGCAGGTACAGGTCCTGTAAGAAGAAAGGGGAAAGTGTTAACTCCCACAATGGACAAACTCTGCGGTCTGTGCGGGGATTGCATCAGAGAAGCAGGACGTCGCTCTTGCACTACAAGCTTCAACTGTTGTAGTACATCTAACAGATACTATAGATAATATGGAGGGTCAGTGGTTTAGGCATCTGGCTGCAGAGCCAGAGGTTGGGGGCTTGAGTCCTTCCTGTGCTGCTTGCAAGTAAAGCCAGCCTGGGTAGCCTTGGGCAAGCTGCACAGTCCTAGAGTGCCCCAAGAGGAAGGGAAGGGTAAAGCACTTCTGATTATTCTCTACTGGGAAAACTCTGAAAAAAGGGTCGCCATTAGTCAGAATCCAGACCTTTTTTCATTCTATTATTACTATGTCTGGTGTGTTAAGTTCAAGGTGTCTATCAGTCTGGATCCAGATGATGGTGGTGGTGGTGGTGATTAGCATTAGCATTTAAAGGCTAATATGTGAATCGCAGCAACAATAGGAGCAGCTCTAAAGCAGAGGTCCTCAACCTTTTTCATACTCCAGACCGGCTGACCCTCTGAGGGAGGTCGGGCGGCCCCTCATGCTCTCCGATGCATGTGCATAGTGGTTGGGGAGCGTGTGCGCCAGAGGTGCACGCTCTTCCCCCACCGCTTCATGCATGCACAGGAGCGCCTGCCCACCCGCACCCTCACGCCACCCCCTGCACCCAGGGGCATACTTGAAGGGGTGAGGGAGCGCGTGCCAGCGGCAGCAGCAGAAGCCTGGGAGTCTGAGCATGGCCGGGTTTATATCTCTTTTTTTGTAACTTGGGGTGTGGGGGATGAAAAGAACAACCTCCCTCTGTTTTAGGCCATTTTCTGACAAGCTTCAGATTTTTTTAAAACATAATTCTACGAAAAATATTGAACCAATACCAAAGTAACATAATGAGTAAGAGGGAAGATGGAATAACATGTGAAAGCAATGCATTGCAAAGTGATCATTCTAACATTTCCTTTTAGGAAGGAAAAGTCCGTGTGGCTCAAGATTATACAAACGCAAGAGTTCGGGAATAACTTTATCGGACCACTAAAAATCGCAAGCTTTCTCATGTAAAAATCCCACTTTCTCAGGCTGTGACAGACACAAAAGCTTGCGATTTGTGTGATTTCTTAGTGGTTCAATGAAGGTATCTCCTAATTCTTGCATTTCCTTAAAAAAAAAAAAAACCACACACGAATTTACAACTTTACCAGCATTGATCCTTCTGTGTGCTCAGCAAAGATCTGAAGGTGCCAGAGACCTACATTTACATAAGGCCCCTTATTAGGGGTAGGTTAGAATTTTGTATCCCTTCATTTTTTAAAAGCATGTTGCAAAATGCACCGGTCTCTTCAAATCTGGGATGAAAGGAGAGTGTGGCCAGCCTCCCGCTTCATGCATTAGCCTTCCATATAGACAGCCAATGACCACCAGAGTTGGCATCTATTTGTAGATATTAGTCATAATTCTTGACTGGTGTGGAGGATGTGGAAAATCAGAGGATGTTTGCAAGAAACCCTAAGAGCTGCAAGAGGCACCCCGGCCTCAGAAAACTGCAAAGGCAGCACTAGCAAAATATAATTATATAGCACATTATACGGCTTGCAGAAGGAAGGGCGTTGAGTCTGCATTTTTAAAAGCCTCCTTATAAGGATATACCAAACTGATGGCTCACAGCTTTTTCAGATTATCTTCTATTTCCTGTAGCGCTCCACAGGGCTCAGGACTGCCAAGATTTTAGGATCTTTCCAAATTAAAACAACCGTTGTCGTTGGTGAGGGAGTAAGCCTTTTGGACAGCTGGCAGACCTTCTTCCTTCTCTCTGCTTTTTGATATGATCAGAGATTCATTGTTGCTCAATGTTATACGCTTGCTGAAATTCATTGGCCAGCTGGAAAAGGCAATTTTAAAGGCAAAGCCATGTTTGATACAATAAAGATGCAAAATACTGTACAATTTGCGTTCATCTCTGTGCAAAACTAGGCCTTACAGAGTTGGTGGCTGCAATACCACTATCTGGCCTTCCTTAAGGGTGGTGCTACAGCTCTGGAGGGAGCGCCTCAGCCTCCGTTCCATCTAGCAAGGTATCTCTGGTAAGGTATAAGAAACGTAATACCTTGTGCTTACGGAGGCTCCCTGGACTAGTAGGTGTGGAGATCGGGGACTGCTTCGATTTGGGGGTGGACAGCTGGCTGCTGGATGTCCCGTTTGCTGCCATGAAACAAAAGAGAAATCAACCAGTGAGCAAAGGTTCAAGGACATTGGGAGGAGGTGGGCCACCCACCTCCTTCTTGTCAAATCACTTCTGTTTATGAAACCTGCAACTCACAAACAAGCAATCTGAATACAGAACTCCTAGTCTGGGTGACATCGCTTTTGTATCGTTGATGCAGAGATGACTGTGCTAATTTTGCTTCCCAATAAAGATACCTTGACATGGGAAACACTAAAGCACAGATGAACTTCACCAAGGGTAAAGGCAGCTGTGTTTGCAAGTGACCTGGGCAGGTTAAGCAATTAAAGACCGAAGCAAGCACCGAATAGGGAGTTGATGCTGAACACAATAACATTATTTAGGACGCTCTTGTATATCATTCCCTTTTTCCCCCACTGCCCTCAGACCCTTTTTTCACGGCCAACAAAGAGAAAGCATGATGTGATGCTGTCAGGTCACTGGTTTCTATACAGTGGTGCCTCGCTAGACGATGATAATCCGTTCCACTGAAATCGCTGTTTAGCAAAATCCTTGTCTAGTGAAAAGCATTTCCCCATTGGAATGCATTGAATCCTGTTTAATGTGTTCCAATGGGCAAGAATCGTCGTTGTCTAGCGAAGATTGGCCATAGGAAAGCTGCTTTGCGAACCGCCAATCAGCTGTTTAAATCGCTGTCTTGCAAAGCTTAGGTCCCAAAAACACCTGTTTTGCAAGCGCGAAGGAAGCTGTCAAAATTGTTGTCTAGCAAAAATCAGTTTGCGAAGCAGGGAACAAACATTGTCCAGTGAAATTCCCCCATAGGAATCACTGTTTCGCAAATCGCTATAAGGATCGCAAAAAGTCTATGTCTAACGAAAAAACTGTCATGCAAGGCACCACTGTAGTTGTATGCCAGGGGACACGGTACACTGGTGAGAGGCAGTCATCATGATGGACTCTTCCATCATGATCCCATGATCCCAAGGAGACTCAGAAGAAGAGAGAGGCAGTCGTGTCAATCCTTATCAACAAACCAGTCTTCGCTGTGATAAAGAGAAGGTATTTCCAAAAGCTGAGGGGACTTAACTGCCTATTCAACACCAAGCAACCTCAGAACAAGTAGCAGGCGCAACAGGAAAAGCTCACAACAATCTCTGGCTCTGGGAAGATCAGTCCCCTGTCCTCCCATGCTTGGAAGACTAAAACTATGCTCGTGCTGAACCGAGAAACCTGTGAGGGCTGGAAAATGACACATTTTATGTGAAAAGTCTCAAGAGTTTCATCCCATGAGCTTGGATTGTATTACCGCTTCGAGTAGCGGCAATACTATTTTGTGTCAGGCTTAGAGATGGGCGTGAACTGTGGTTCGGCGGTTCGGTGTGGTTCGACAGTTCGGCCACACAGTTATTCTGTGGGTGCCCCAGTTTCCTGTGCCCCGCCTTCTCCCATGGGGGGGCCAATCGGATGCAGCGGTGTGGCTTCCCAACCCTGCCTCCTTCATCAAATGCCCACTCAGGCCATGGCCCCGATACCCACTTCATCACCATAATTACCAATCAATTCCCATAATTGATATTCATTTCTGTTATTCATACTTGTGTTGCTGAGGTTTTGACGGTGATTTAAGAGGCTTCTAAGGAAAGTCACCGGCAGAACATTCCTGATGGCATCATGTCACATCCCTGAGATATTTTGTATAGTTTTACTAGGTTAGTTAAAACAACAACGACACAACCTTTGACCCTGGGACATCCGGGTTCGAATTCCAATCAACCCATGAGACTCATGGGGGCAGCCATGGGCCAGAGACTTGGTCTCAGATTAATCTACCACACAGGGCATTTTTAAGTTAAAGGGGAAGAGAGTTAGATGTGCCAACAAGGTCATTGAAATAAAGGTGGGAGATAGGGGCATACGCTGTTTTCGGACAAGTGCATACAAACAAGCCAAATCAGAATGTTTATGCATTTCAGGGAAGGCCACGAAGCGGAGCAAGGCAGTCAGAGACATGAATATGGCAGAGAGGCACCCTGACATGTCATATAATAGTGGCTGAAGTGAAATAGGGAGATCAAAGAATAACCAAGTAAAATGGGGCTACTTGGAATCTGGACAAACTTTCTGTGACTGTGGAGAAATTCTGTCTACACAGCACTTATGTGCTTGTAATTTGTGCCCCACCACGTGTACAAAAGAAGATCTAGCAAACAGCGGAGAGAATGCTACTGCAGTAGCTTGCTGCTGATCAAAAACAGTCTAATCCCCATAACATTTTAATTTGTTTTAAATTATATCGGTATTTCATGTACGTCCATCATTTTAAATTGTGCAGCAAGAGGATAGGAATCAAGGAGGAGAGCAGGCACAACAGACGCCGTCCAGACTTTTGCTGGCCGGATTGTACTTTCTCCCAATCATGCATAGCCTGCAGGAGGAGGTCATGGTTTATTTAAAATCAATGTCCTATGGATCTTTCCCTCCGGTAGTTACAAAGGGCATGGAAAGGTTAATCGGTCTTAAAGCAACACGGGCTCCTTCCCCAATCACAGAGCAAAGACTAGTTCAGACAGATGGGCCCACCGACCGATTGACTGATAAGATCGCTGGCGATCATTTGATGGGCTTGCTTTAAGATGGCACACCCAGCAGGTCAAAATTCAAGACCCTGGCTCATAACCCCTCTCTTCTCTCCCCTATCAGACTACCTGATAGGGATTCTGCAGAAGCTTTTCTAAACCAGCAGGCATCTACAGTAGAGGATGCTCTCTAATCCTGGCAACCCGTTCCCCGAGATAGTCTGCTTGTTGTTTATCCAACAGTTATGCTGTAAGAAGAGAAAATATGTGGCCCAAGACAGATGTTTTCCACTGATAAAGCTGACTTTAGTTCCACCTTAAACTTCTTCTTCCATCTGATTTTTAAAAATTAGATATCTGGGTCCCACATAACAGGTCATCTGATTACAACCTCTGGGCAAGCAATAGAGAAGGCATGGAACGGCTAACATTTCAGAATACAACATCTAGTCCAGTGATTCCCAGCCTTGGGTCTCCAGATGTTCTTGGGCTGCAACTCCCAGTAATCTTGACCAGTATAGCTAGTGGTGAAGGCTTCTGGGAGTTTTATCCCAAGAACATTTGGGGACCCCAAATGGGAACCACTGATCTAGTAACATGGAAAAACATTACCCAGAAATGGAATCAGGTGTGTTTCGTGTGTTCTGTCCATCTTCAACACTAGCTTCTCCTTTCTTATGGATCTCCTTTGATCAGTTACCACACTGGGCAGATGTACGATCTACGCAACACTTTTTACCCTTTCTTACCAGCTGTCATTACTTGTGGGGTGGACATTTGGTTGTTGACCACTTGTTCAGCTTTTCCTTCTGGCCTAGAGTGATAATGGGCAAGTATACAAGCAGGCAATGCTAACTGTTGCCTTCCTTTAATCTCCTTATGACTGTTTACTAGGTATGGGGCTTTCAGATATCTTAGACTTCAACCCCAAGGATTTGGCAGAAATCCCCATCAGGCAGAATTCTGAGGGCTTTAGCCCAGAAATCAGAATCCTCACAGGAGCATTCAGTTAAATGTAGTCAGGGAATGAAGTCTCTGTCAGCCATTTTGTTCCTGTGAGGAAGAATGAGGAAAATGGGTGGGAGTGGCTAAACTCTGTGGGAGCTGCAAGGGATTAGAGGACTGGAGGTCTCTCTGCCCATTAGGCTCTGTACAGAGTGCCTCTGAAAACAAAACCGCCACTAGGTCCATCATCAGTGATGAAGAGTCAATGGTCAGTTGGTGTGGAAGGGGCTGCCATCTTGCTCTTTGTCAGAATAGGCCTTGGGCTGGATCACTCCGTGACGTACAAAAGAGAAAACTATGGCCCAGAGAGTTAGAGGTCAGCTCGTCACCTGAACCCATGTCAGGTTCAACATTTATCTGCTGGGAAATGAACTGCCACTCACCATCCTGAGGGTTACCTGAATCAGCTGGGGATTTGCTCCGGCGCACAGGAGCCGGGCTCTTTGCCGAACTCTTCTGAGGTGTCGGAGATGACTTGCTTCCGGGAGTCGTCGGAGGGTTGGCCTTCATTACTCGGCACTCTGAGGAAAGCGAAACCAAAGGACTGTGAGGATCTGCATTGATCTTAAAGCTTTGTGCAGAGGGACAACACATAAAACAGGAGGCAGTAGCAGTGAAGCTTATAAAGGGCAACGTACCACTGGATAAGCATCCATACTGTTCCTTTGCATTAAAATTAAATGGATGGATGGATGGATGGATGGATGGATGGATGGATGGATGGATGGATGGATGGATGGATGGATGGATGGATGGATGGATGGATGGATGGATGGATAGATGCTTGTGGTAAATAATATTACACTGCCCAAAATCCTGTTGCTTAGTATAGTAAATCTCACTAGAGTTGACCCATTGAATCAATGGGGATTTAGTGAACCAGCTCCTCTATAAGTTCTATTAACTCCAATGGACCTACTCGAATTGTGACATATTTTAGCATACCAACTACAGTAGGCCCATTGGATCTGTGAAATTTAGCGAGGAGTTGAATCAAAGAATCCCCATTGATTTGGTGGGCGCAATCTAGTGATATGTTCTACTCTAAGCAATAGGATTTGGGCCAGTTGGTTCACAGGTCATGTTCTGTGTGCTGCTCTGTCTCCTGGAAATCCATAGCCTATATGGTTTCATATAGCTTGTGTATTTTACAGATAATCCGAGTTCCACGAAAATTGTTCTGTCAGCACTTCGTTATGGTGAGAAACTCTCCAGAAAGCCAGAAGCCAACTTCTTTTCTAAATGGGAAGGGTACAAAGGTGCTAAGGATAAAAATATTTCTTCAGCCCAATTTCTTCAAGTCCCACCAGCATTTACATCCTTTTTAATATGGGGCTCCAAGACTGTTTAGGGCTTTTTTTTGGGTGAGTGTACACACATGGACATAAGTACAAATTTTTCCACATTTTCTTTCTAATATGCACATTTATTGACACATTTTATTTAACTTGTGCAAATATTCCCCATCAACTAAAACATGCTTTTCTGTGCTGTTTCAGCTGCAGATATTTATAGCCGTTGACACCTAAAAATATGGGCCAGACTTGGTGAGCATTTTATTCCTCTGAAATGTCCCGTGCTGCTTGGAAACTTGCAGATTTTTGAGACAAGGGGAATTTCTTATTTCAACGAATCTCGAGATGTGCGAAAACGATGCTTTCGCTGAGATTATCCCTAAACGAAGCATGTTCTAGCAGAGGCTGGTGAACGTTAAGCATCAGAATTTAAAATGTGTGTGTTTGGAAGAAGGAAAAAGTAATTTCACTGTTTCAAAGCAACCTGTCCCTTAAGAGGTGTTCTCCATAAATTCTCTCCTTTGATTTGGAACCAGGCATTTAGGGATTTTCATATTCATTCTGAAGAGTTTGGTTCTTATTCCAGGTTCAGACTGCGCATTAATGGAAAGGCACTTGCTGCAGTGCTCCAGGGATAAGATGCTGGTCTAATTAGAATGAGACTATTTCAGGAACTGTTTAATCGTGGACAAGATATCATTGATAACTAGACGAATTAAACTCGGGCGAAGTGTCATATTTGTGCCCAAAATAAATAAATCTGAAGATCGCGCTGCATCGCCACAGTTCACTAGCAAGGGCTGAATGGATGGCAAAGTAATTTTATGCCTGAGCAGGCAGGGCAGAGGCTGGCAGTTAGAGTCACCCATGTTTCCCTTATTATTAAAGGGCAGAGTGGAAGAATATGGTGCCTTCTGAGATGCTGCTGCAACCTAATGTCACCATTGGATAATCCCAGCACATTCAGAGTCACCCCACTGAAGCTAAGAAGAGGGGCTGGAAAGGTGTAAAGAGAGAGATTTCAGGTTGATGTAAAGATAATTGCCTGTTTTGTCAATATGGTGTTAGCCTTGGACAGCAGTTTCTCCCTTGTCTGGCTTGAATGATGGATAATTCCTTGTCTACTCTGCACATAGAAAGGTAATAATAATAATAATGTTTTGTCAATGGTTGTTGTGGGTTTTTCGGGCTTCTTGGCTGTGTTCTGAAGGTGGTTTTTCCTAAAGTTTTGCCGGTCTCTGTGGCTGGCATCTTCAGAGGACAGCAAACTGTGCTCTGGTGTAGTTTGGCTAGGGCGTGGAGTATTTATGGCTGTGAGATGGGATGATTAGTGTGTATTGTTGTGGGTATATTGTTTTCTGTGGATGGGTGATTAGTGTGTTTTGTTGTGGGTGTATTGTTGTGATAAGGAGATTATCTGTCACTGTGGTTGATGGTAGTTTTGTCAAGTTGATTGGAATTCATGATGACCTTGCATATATATATATATCAGAGATGGGGTTCCAGCTGCAGGACTTGTTGACAAGTTGGACATAAGTTGCTAACTGGTGACTCTACTCAATTTTTTTTAATGATGTGGACTTGACTTGCAGCTAGGAACCCATCCACCCACTCCCCTTTTTTCTGTGATAGGGGGAGCTTGTTTTTAATAGGGACTCAGATTTGGGACTTGGTACCAAAGACTTGGATTCAGACTTGGGACTTGCCAACATCCCCGGTATACTGGTGCTAAATATATTCTTTGGGTGGTGTCCCCTTAGAAGAAGACAAAGAATCCATTCCACCGGCAAAGCATTCCATGTGATCTCCGGCTTGAAGTTGTCAGTCAAGGGACTTCTGTACACACCCGTCTGTAAAAGCCTGAGAAGCAGGAACTGCACACACAATCAGTTGTGGTGCGCACAGTAAAACCAAAGAGGATTCTAGCCTGTATTTTTTACCAGTCATGATGGTTTTTATTGTTGTTATACATTGGATCATCCAGGAAGAGGTCTTGCGAAATCTTTATTTGCATAGCTTATTGTCCATATATTGTATGCTGTATTTAAAAAAAATGAAACTTGGGATTTTTAACACACTCCAAGAGTATGTCTTGCTAGACAGGATTATGCATTTGCCAAGGTTACAACAGTCAGAGTAATACTCCATCCACTGCATCCCCCAGTCTCTGCTTGCCTGGAGTGGTGATCATCTTGATTGGTGTCAATGGGATGATGCTTGG